AAATTCTACTAAAATTTCTGACTGAAAAGTTTGCATAGTGAGCCAGTGTAAGCAGTCAATTTCTACCACCCTTCTATTTCACTATTAAGAACAAAAACATTTTCTTCATTTCTGCTACTTAAAACTCTGCCTCCTGCATACCTCTCCTCAAGCTCACTGTGGTAAACAGAATCTTTGCTCCCATGTCTCTATTTGGAGATGGCTTTAACGCTCTGTACCATTGTTTGGTTGCATCCTAACCACTCATTCATTGCCATGAACTTTGCCCCAGAGTCTGAGCCATGTGCCGTGACACGGAGGACAATTCCTAGCACACTTGCAAAGAGGGGACACCAGTGAGAAGAGTTCAGCAGTGGTAAGGTTGGATGAGTGAAATAATTTTGTTTTCCTTACTTTAGTTTCCTTTTCCAAAGTGAAGAACTTTTAAATACTCTTTTCTTCTTTGCCTAATATATTGAAAATCTCAAAAAAGCATCATCCATAAAAATAAGGAAATATTTGGAAAAACATGAAGATGAATACCTCCAGAGAAGCTCACTAAAGGGAACTTATTTCAATGATTGACAAAGAAATAATTTGTAAATAAGGTGAGACTATGGCTTTCAGATCCTAAAATGCACATGTATAGGATCGATCAATAAAAAGCAGAATATTCTTGAAAACTTGCACAACATACTTACTGTTGCTGTTTTTTGTTTGTTTGTTTTTAAATTGAGTCAAGGTTCAGATACAAGTTTATCTCAAGTGGGCCTCGAGGTAAGTAGGACACTTCAATTAACAAAACAGTCATTGTGAATCTAAAGGAAGCCTAGACAACTTTAAATTTAAAGTATTGATCATGTATATTACTCCTCTATGGAATAAATGGATGTCTCATATCACTGTAGAATCTCTGAGGAGGTTAAATTTTCAAAAAAATAAAAAATAAAAATAATTCTAAAATTCAGGTCTTTCAATAAGTTTGTCTTTTAGTAGTTCCAAAATACATTTTGCCTCAGTATGCTGTGCTCTTTAAATAGGTATAAGTAATTCATCTCTCAGGAAGCTCAGCCATGGAGAGAGACTGGGAGCCAATGTCAAGGGCAAGCAGCCTCCTCCTCACTCCAGGGCTTTTGCTTTTCATTCCCCAGATGCTGGGTGTCAGGAGACTTCACAAGGTACAACTGGCCCACAGGAGCTTCTCTCTCACCTCCATCCATTCAGATTTTAAATAGATTCAGTTTCCTGACTTGCCTCCTCTAGTTTATTATGCCATCAGCTATTATTTATTGGGTCCTTAATACATGCCAGGAAATACTTAAATATTTCAACTGTATTAGGGCTTTGAATTTCGTTCTAAAGAAAGCCACCTTCTGAGATGATATGTGTAATTCTCTCTATTTTATAGATGTGGTAGCTGATTTTTAAAAAGATGAAGGTGCTTGCCCATAACAGAAAGTGGGAACAACTGGAGTTTGAATCATCTGGCTGATTTCATATCCAATGCCCTCGATTACTGAATGCAATGTGTAATTCAGAAGGGGATATAGGATACGGTAATATCTTCAGATGCAGAACACTTAGAAATCCTCAGTTTGAGTTATGTTTAACAACCCCTTTAATCATATCCTCAGCTTTTATTTCTCCAATTGTAAGATGAGGTTAGTGATAACTGTCCTCTTTAGCCCACAGAAAATTCACTTAGAATGAAGTTTTAAATGGAAATGTTTTTATAAACTATAAGGTCATTGCTAATGTATATTACATTAAAATTCATACTTGTATATATTTGATACATGTGCATGTTGAATTTAAGTCTGACAGACTGTGGAATAGGCACAGTGATCATTAACTGAGTGTTAGGTTATACTGAACTTAATTTCTATGTAGAAATTTCAGATGAATTAAATGATTTTGTGTTTGATACTTTGATATAGAAATTATGGTCTGAAAATTTTCATAGACAAGACTTTTTCCCATTCCACTTGATGTCAAGCAATAAACTCTACTATATGTCTAGAAGAACTAGCATTTGGTAAGGCATCTATGGATAGCAGTGTACCTGTTCCTCGTGAATGCCAGAGTACCAGGAGGCAAAAGTATAACTGCTCCATTTGCATTGTACAAAGTACATGTAAAATGAGACAAAAATGAAATTATTTGATTATTTAAATTCTTTAAAAATATTTATCATTTTAAATTATTTATTATTTAATTATTTTATTTATTTTCACATTTTTTATTTGTTAATAGTCTTATTGAAAGTATTACTTCTAATAGTGTTATTATGTACGACTTCTGGTCTAGAGGAGATGGTATGGACTTCTTTCTCCCTGCCCACTACATTCAACTGTAAACTCTGAAAAGAGCGAAAGAGGTAACTTCTGGCAAAGGAGATATTCTAAAGTGTGGTAGGAGGAAGGCAGTGGGATTTTGGACCTAGCACTGGAGGAACAATACAGGGATTCTTAACCCACATCCTCCAAAAGAGAAGAAAGAGATGTTTATCCACATCAGTGTTTCCCAGTGCCCTCATCCCCTGGAAGTAAGTTTCTTAACAGCCATTGTGTCCCACCCAAACTAGCCGCCCACAGCGAAGGAGCTCTGATTCCTCTGCAAAATAAAGCAGGTAAGTCTGCAACAGCTTATTCTCTGATTTGACAACTCAGAAGTAGTTTTTTCATGAAAGACTGGAGATTCTTACACACTTCAGTAATTCCCATGGTTACTTGTCACTTCATTACAAAACACTGTGATGAGCCTTCATTATTTTAGAGATCTGGACTTCTTACAATTGGCCACATCATTGTCATCTCAGCATTGTGCACTCCTTGGTTTTGACTTCTCTGCTATTAAAACATTATCTCCAAACATTGTAATGAATGAAATTCACACAGCAGTCTAATCTTACTTTAGATTCTTGTTTAAAACATTCTTGTCAAAACATTCCTGCCATAAAATATTGTTTCTATTAAATAAGTTAATTTAAATCTAAACTGAGATACTATTTTTCATCTAATCCTGTGACAAAGACCCAAAAGATGGATAATGTACTGTTTTGTCCAGGGAATAGGGAGACAGGCAATCATGTACATCCTCCTGGCAAAGGTAATTGTTAGCAACCACAACAGAGAATAAGATCTCTGTGGTGGTGATCTCTATCAAATTGCAAATACACCTATCTTTGACCCTACAAATGCCATTTCTAAGAATATTGCAAATAATTCATACACATAAGGACAGGTTGAAAAAACAATAGCAGTATAACCACTCCCCAATGGCCCATTTGTTAAAGATTTGGTCCCCACTCCCGGTGCCATTAGATGACAGCAGAACATGTAAGAGGTGGGGCCAAGTGGGAAACTTTAGGTTATTGGGGGTGGCCCTCAAAGGCCACTGCCAGGCCCAGGTATTTTCTCGTTGACCCCACCATGAAGAGAACAATGACATAAAGTCTTGTAACAGCCAACAGGGCCAATCACTCCTGGAGTAAGAACTATATAATTATGAGCAAAATAAATCCACTCTATTTATAAGTTTATTATTGTGGTATTTATTACAGCAACAGAAATAACACATAGTACAACATGCAAAGCCTGCTAATATCTGAGTAAAAAAGGAGTGGGATATGTATCCATATTTCCTTGAGTATGTGTAAATTATCTTTGAGAAGAATATACCAAAATTACCAATACTAATTGTCGCCTATCTATGGTAGCTAAGGGACCAAAGAGGAACACAGGTAAAAAGGTACTTCTTACTTTATTCTATTATATTTTATGAATTTTTGATATGAGAATGCTCACAAATTTTAAAAATAAACTGAAGAAATCATTTTCCATTGAACTTATGTCATCTTTTACTTCTTCCTTTGGTGCTTGAAATAAAGCAATTCTCTTTGTCTTTTTGTTGTTGCTGTTGTTATTATTGTTATTCAAACAGAATCTAGCAAACATCATGGACTGAGACAAATTAAAAATCTCTAAACTTTCATTCAATAGTTTAACAAGCTTCCACAATATATAATATTTGTATGTAAAAATCTCCAACAATATTTCCTGTCTTCTATGCTCATAAAGTAATATGTACTATTGTCACAATAGTGCTTTTCAAATAGTATTCTAGTCATTGTTATTGCAGCAGGAAAAACAAGTATTTACCATTGGTACAGGACATTTTGTTTTCCATGTATTTTATTTTATTTATTTATTTTGAGTACCAGGGATTGAACCCAGGGGCACTTAACCAACTGAACCACAGACCCAGCCTGTTCTTTTACTTTAAAAATTTTTTTTATTATTATTATTTTGAGACCGACCGGGTCTCTGTTAGTTGCTTAGGGGCTTGCTAAATTGCTGAGGCTGGCTTTCAAATTGCAATCTTTCTGCCTCAGCTTCCCCAGCCACAGGGATTACAGGGGTATGCCACTGCACCCAATTGTTTCCATTTTTAAAGAAACCATTTATACCTAAGATTGGTGAAAGCTCCTGGGCTTAAAACGGCTTATGACTTTAAGCATGATGAAAATATTAGATATTTGTCTCTATACTCTGTGTGGTTTGATTTTAAATGCCTGAGCAATGAGGTTAGCTTCATACCTATCTTACCTAATGATCAGTTCAAGAAACATACTCTCAGAGCAAGATTTATGTTAACAATAGGGAATCTACATGCATCCCTCACTTAGTTTATAACCCCTGTGCCTAGAATAGTGCCTGGAATGTAGCAGGTACACAGTATCCTTTTTGCCCTTTATTTTTCTACCAATGAATGGTAATATAACTGCTTGGGAAAAATACTAAAATATCTGTTTTACCTAAAGTTGAATTAATATAATTTTGCTCACATTTTGGATTGTGTACTTCTACTGACATACAAATTTTGAAGTCCTAACTAATACCCACACAGTGATGCTGTGAAATCATTAACCTAGAAATTTCAAACAAAGATAAGAAGCAACTACATATTATGTTTCATTTGACCATCTCAAACATTTTTTTTTAATACTATTGATTACTTACAGGTCTGACAATGATTTTCTGTTGGTCCCCAGCATCGGCCAGTACAGGACTTATGGCAACGTCCACCTGAAGAAGAGGAACAAGGAGGAAAGAAGGTCATGTACGTTTTAATCTTTCACTCCTTGATGAGGAGAGACTGCCCAAGGACATATCCCTGCTCTTTCGAAAAATTTTATGTCATACTAGAGTTGAGGCCTAGTGCTGAAAATGCTCACTTAAGTAGCAAAGCTTAAATATTCTACCTTTGACTCTACAAATGCCATTTTAAGAATACTGGAAATAATTCATACACATAAAGACAGATTGAAAAAAACAATGGCAGTATAATCACCCCCATGGCCCATTTGTTAAAGATTTGGTCCCCACTCCCAATGCCATCAGATGACAGCAGAACATGTAAAACTGAAGTACAGTCTTCTGGTATTCAAAATACTCTCAACATTTTACATGAAAAAGAAACAAATATGTTTGCAATATTTCCCAGAAAGTCAAAAGTAAATTGTTATATTAAATAAATTTCACTTTGTTGAAGATTTTGGTTGTATTGATCTCTTCTACTTGGTATAATTTCAAAATTTCACAGCTTACTGATTCCAGTAGATATTACAAATTAAGTTAATTGTTAAAAAGAAATCAAGTTTATGAAAGCGAGAATGTATTCTTTGAAACACATGACAAAACATCAGAATAAAAGGCAAAATCAAGCATTTAAAAGAGCTATTTTTTTTAGAAAACAATTTCAGTTATTCAATACATGCTTTTAAGATTGTTATATGCATTTTTTAATATTGGCTTTTAACTCTTGTGGTAGCTCTTTAGCTACAGTGAATATCAGCCTCAACAAATATAGTTGTCCCACAGAGAAATCCCCATAAGGACTCAAAAATAAAAATATTAGCTAGAGGCAATCAGGTAAAATGACTTTGTGTGAAGCTGGTTTCTAAATTTCATTCTAAATTTAGGCACATGGATTATTTTTAGAATGAAAAGTACATATGAAAGTTGATGAAAGACTAGCTGTTCTATAACAAGTTTCCTATTAAACCTCTCTTAGCTTTCAGGTATTAACTGTGAATTCAAAGAGAACTATATTATAAAAATTATCAAATAGAGTTTACCAAATGTTTCCATCTTCCCTTGATGCATGGTTTTCAAATAATCAGCTTGAACATTCTTACTGCTTCGAGGTTTTTTTCCTTTGCAGTGAAAGTGCCTGAGTGATCCCACATGATAAAGACCTTCAGAGTTATAATACAGACTCAGCAGACACTTTCTCTGATTGACCTCAGCCTGTCCTGATGGTCTGCCCTCAGAAAGGAACCATAGTGTTTCCAAATCAATACAATGCTCAGGATCAGTTAAGTCATATTTTTTAAAAGTATGGGGATTCTTGCTACAGCAGGGTTTATTTAAAGCAGTTCTGTCTGTGATTGCTGCTACTGACATCATCAGTGTATAATATCCTGTCACTCTGCCATCTGTTTATTTAGATCTAAACACATTATAACTACATAATGCAAACTCATTCTAGTTGACAGGAAAAGGACTCCATCTGGCCTGAACAATATAACTTTAATCAGTGATAATGATAATTATTATTAAAAACTTACTGGAGTTCCTTTATACCAAGCTAATAAATCTAAATTGATTTATACCAGCGGAAATTAGAAAGGACTGTGAGACAAACTGGGAAGCAAGGAAAACTTTCTGAAGAACCAACTTTTTTATGAGAAAATATCTAACATTAATATGCCTTCTTAGATGTGTTGAAATGCTTTGAATCTATTCACCAAGTGGTATGTAAATTGAAGATATCTAAAGCAAAGAATGACCTCTCACTTAATCTATGACTTCTTTAATTGTGTTTGAGCTAATAAAATATTTAGCTTTATTCTTTATGGTCAGAATTCTATCTGGTAGGAAAATAAAAGAAAGGAAAAACAGAGAAACAGATAAGATACATTAATAAAATATATTTTAATATACTCAATATTTATTTGGGGGGAGGGTTACATTTTTTTGACTTTTTATTTATCAAGTTTCAATTCACCACCCAAATTCAGGCTCCCAGATTTCCCATTATAAGGCCCATAAATACGTATGATGTTTATGTTTGTTTCTACTAGTTAAAATAAATGCAATTTTTTTTAAAAAAGGTATATTTCTTGAAATATTGTTCATGTTTTTTTGACAAGGTATCAGAGTCAAGCTCACTATTTGGAAATGAGTGACACAGAATGTACACCCCAAACTTTAACCCTGTCTGCTTGCTGCTGTGAGATGTTCTTCAGTAGTTTTCATTTCTCATCTGTATTTCAACAAAAATATTATTACTGGTATATAAGGATGCCTTCAGCAGCTGCTTCTCTTCCTGGATTTTACAGAATCTTCCATTTCTTCCATATACTTTGGGAGCTAAAAGAAGATAGATGTTCCCTCAGTCTACACATTTCAGAATCCATTCCTACCAACACATTGGAGGGGTTTGACTGGCATGTGCTTCTATAAACTGTTGCTTGGCCTGCCCTACCTTGATTTAACTGTCTTCCTGGAGCTTTGACTCTTTTGGAATCTGCCCAGGGACTCAGTTCAGCTTTGATCTTCAAAATGGTACAATAGATGATACTTTGGTATCAATAGTATTTTCATCAAGTTGTTGTAATAACTAAATATCACAACATCTGAACAAAAATCTCTGTCTAGGGATTGTCAGAATTCACTCTTTGCTACACTTTCAGACCTGCCATCTTAATTTGATACTTGTGGATAATTGGCCAGTAAAGTCCTATAAAATATTATAGTTAAATAACTTAAATTTTTTGTAGCCCTTTGTTTTCATCATTTCTACTGCAGAAAAGTATCAAAGAGATGATGGGGTAGAAAACCTTACTGTTTCCATAGTAATTATCTGTCTAGCACAGGAACAACAACAATTTCTGTTAGCTTTGCTTCCATCTATCTCCTCATAATTACTTCGTAAGCATCTTCATTGTTCTGTGTATTAGGTATGATGTTAAATATTAGAGATAAAACATTGAACTGAAACAGACATGGCCATCATCCTCAGAGAGTTTAGAATTAATTCCACATCATACTGAAAGGGAAAATTTTTGACTATTATGTATTTCATGTTTATTATCCATGAGACTAAGAGGAAAAGCCAACAAATCTACATTTTAACAGCATTCTAACTCAGGTAAGAAGGGGTAGACAAGACAACTTTCAGTGAGATGATCCCAGTGTAATGCCTAGGGCTTAGAATTCTGCTATATTCTTAGCATAATGATTTATCTTTGCATCATGTAGAATGAGATTGTCCCTGAGTATTTCAGTGAAGAGGACAGTTATAGAGTCTGAAATGTCTCTTATTTGTCTCCTAACAGATATAAATGTCCAATTTCTTTTTTTTGGTATTTTTTAAATTTTTACTGAACCCAGATATACTTTACCACTGAGCTACATCCCCAGCCCCGCTCTTTGTTTTATTTTTTATTTTGAGACAAGGTCTCACTAAGTTGCTTAGGGCCTCACTAAATTGCTGAGGCTGGCTTTAAACTTGCAACTCTCTTGCCTCAGCCTCCTGAGCCCCTGGGATTATAGGTGTGTGCCACCACACTGGCTCAAATGTCCAATTTCTTATTGAGGGCATTTTTCCTTCCCTCTGTATACAGTATTTTCTCTCTCTCTCTCTTTTTTTTTTTTTTTTTTTTGGAGGAGAGGTGGTACCAGGGATTGAACTCAGGGGCACTTGACCACTAAGCTACATCCCCAGCCCTATTTTGTATTTTATTTAGAGACAGGGTCTTACTGAATTGCTTAGTGCCTCACTTTTGCTGAGGCGGCTTTGTGGGATCCTCTTGCCTCAGCCTCATGATTCTCTGGAATTACAGGTCTGCACCCCTGCACCCAGCCAGTATTTTCAGTAGCCCTGATTTCATGAGGAAAGTAGACCACACATGTCACTAGTATTTTAGTGTAAATTAGTTTTATGAACTACTTCTCGAGGCATAGGTTTTATAAATAAGGACTGAAAAGAGAAAAACTCATCAGATATTAGAGTATAAAAATGGGAACAGTATTTTGGGACTCTGCCACTGCTATCCAAATCTGTCCCATTTCCCTGTCTCAACCTGTTCTATGACTATTTTCTATTGTTTATTGAAATAATTCTCTTAAAGCTATGTGAAAAAATATGCCACTTTTTTCACTTAAAAATTAAGAATCTGACATTTCCATATGGCTTAGTGAGAGCAGAGCTATTTAAATTAATATCTTCTGTCATTTTGATTCAATCAAAGAGATAACATTTTTTAAAAAATAGAATTTTAAACCAATATTTCTGTTTTGGTAGTAACTATATTAATGTTTAAAATAAGTGCTGATTATTCCATACTAGCATTATTTCAATTCACAAGCAACCCCCCTCTGCTTTGACAATTATTCATCATGGAGTTAGCAAATAGGATTAAGTTCATCTTTTATTCTTGTCCAGAAGATGTTACTAAAAATGTTGCTTTTGCATTCCTTTTTAGAAAGTAGAGTCCTTGAGCTGCTTTTATGTTTTCAAGAATCATAAATTCATGCTAGAAGTTTTGCTTGTTTGTGTGACCGCCTGACAGGAGAGATGAGATTCAATATCTACCTCTGTAATGCTTTCTGCAAGTAATATGCCAAGACAGTTGAAGAGTTACAAAATATGAAGTCACTGGCAACTGTAAAAGATTATATCCTAACCTTGCCTCTAGCTAGAGGCAGTGCAGTTATATCCCTGGATTCTTCTTACAATCCTTTTAAAACCAGGCACTGTTGACCTCTTAAAATGGCTTTTATTGGGGAAAGAAGTGAGAAAATAATATCTTTTTCATGAGCATATAATTCAAAAGAGGGAATGGAACATTTACAGAAGGCCTACATTAAACTAGTCCAGATTCTTGGTGGGGGGACAAAAAATGAGGAAGTTGGTGTCCTGCCCTCTTAGAGCTTTCAGGACACAGGAAATAGAGAAACAAGAAGGTAATCTTCATAAATCATAAAATGTAGTAAAACATAGGTATGAATAAAGTGGA